ATGACTATTTTGCTTTTTCTGAATATCAAATACACCCTTGTAAAAGAATTGAAGCTCTGAAATCCCTGAGAAATTTGGAGGCATTTAAATGTGCAGCAAGCTCTGACAGCAATACCCAAAGGAGTTTCAAAAATGTTATTACTGTAATAGAGATGCTCTTTTTCACATTAAAAAAAAAAAACCTTTCACATTACAATCACGATTCTCTTGCTCTGCATGGGTGGCTTAGCTGGTTGTAGCATCCTCCTGTGCACCAAAAGGTCTGGGTCTGATTCCTAGTCAGGGAAATCAGTTTTAGTAAAACAGCTTTATCTAAATTTACATCAACTTAGTTCTCCCTCTCCCATTATCTGCCAAATTCCTGATGGTAGCAGGATAACCACCCAAAACTTGTTATATAAACCTTCACATGCAAACATGCCAGTCTTTATTTAAAGCCATCAATTGGACAGGATCCCAAGCAGTGTGACTGACTACTGCTCTTCCTGGCCACTCAGGAAACCAGCATATCCCCGAAGGACAACTTGTAGACACCAAAAAACACAGGAAGAGAACACTCAAGTGGAGACTAGAATAAGCCAGTAATCAAAACACACACAAAATCTGTACACTCTAACTCATATAAACAGAACAAAACAGCACAGAGATATTTTCATTTAGCAATGCTACTCCTTAAGATTTTTTCTCGAGAAACCAAGATATGGGCACATATAACCACAAAGAGAAGACTTCCGGCCAAGATGGAGGCATAGGTAGAAAACACTTTGACTCCTCCCACAACCAAAAGTAAAGACAATAAAGAACAAAAACCACAACTGCCAGAAAATCTAATTGTATGGAAGCCTGACAACCAAGGAGTTAAAGAAGAACCACTCCTCTAGATTGGGAGGAGGGGTGTAGAGGACGCACAGTAAGGTGATGGCTGGAGGATGGGGCAGGGACCAGCCAGCAGACCAACTAGTCCTACATCTGCCTACAAATAAACAGGGAGAAACAACTGGGTAGTGAGACAGACCACGCAACCCTGCAACCCAGGGCTCCAGCAGAAGAAAATAAAGTCTCTAAACTGACTGAAAAAACCTTTGGGAATTGTGGTGGTGGAAGAAACTCCCAGCCTCATGGGAGAGTTGGTTGGAGAGAACCACAGGGTCCTAGAATCTATACAAAACCATCCAACAGGAATCAGCACCAGAAAGGCCCAATTTGCTTGTGGGTAGTGGGGAAAGTGACTGAAATCCAGAAGAGAGGGGAGCAAGTGTCATTGTTCCCCCTCAGACCACTCCCTTATATACAGCTTCACATCCCAGCAACTCAGGTTGCCCTACTGTGCGAAATACCTAAGACTCCACCCCTCACTACATAACAGGTGTGTCAAAAAAAAAAAAAAAAAAAAAAAAGGTCCAAACAAAAGAACAGATCAAGGCTCCAAAAAAAATACAACTAAACGACCAAGAGATATCCAACCTATCAGATGCACAGTTCAAAACACTGGTAATCAGGATGCTCACAAGATTGGTAGAATTTAGTTGCAAATTAGATGAACAACTGAAGGCTACGCTAAGTGAAATAAAGGAAAATGTACAAGGAACCAATAGTGATGGGGAAGAAACTGGGACTCAAATCAATCAAATGGACCAGAAGGAAGAAAAAAATTACCAAACAGGAAAGAATGAAGAAACAAGAATAAAAAAAACAAACAAACAAGGAGAGGCTTAGGAACCTCCAGGACATCTTTAAACGTTCCAACATCCAAATTATAGGGGTACCAGAAAGAGAAGAAGGGCAACAAATGGAAAACTTACTTGAACAAATAATAAAGGAGAACTTCCCCAATCTGGTAAAGGAAATAGACTTCCAGGAAGTTCAGGAAGCTCAGAGTTCCAAAGAAGGTGGATCCAAGGAGGAACACACCAAGGCACATCATAATTACATTAGTCAAGATTAAAATGAAGGAGAGAATTCTAGAAGCAACAAGAGATAAGGGGACAGTCACCTACAAAGAAGTTCCCATCAGACTATCAGTAGATTTCTCAAGAGACCTTATAGGCAAGAAGGGGCTGGAAAGAAGTATTCCAGGTCATGAAAGGCAAGGACCTACATCCAAGATTACTCCATCCAGCAAAGCTATCATTTAGAATGAAAGGGCAGATAAAGTGCTTCTCAGATAAGGTCAAGTTCAAGGAATTCATCATCACCAAGCCCTTATTATATGAAATGTTAAAGGGACTTATCTAAAAAAAGATGACGATCAAAAATATGAACAGCAAAATGACAACAAACTCACAAATATCAACAACTGAACTTAAAAAACAAAAACAAAAGCAAACTAAGCAAACAACTAGAATAGGAACAGAATCACAGAAATGGAGATCACATGGAGGGTTATCAGCAGGGAGAAGTGGGGAGAGAATGGGGAAAAGGTACAGAGAATAAGTAACATAAATGGTAGGTATGACTTCCGCCAAGATAGAGGTGTAGGTGGAAACACTATGCGTCCTCGCACAACCAAACCTAAAAACAACAAAGTTTTAACAACAATAAACGCAATCAAACCACACAGAAAAGTGACAATACGGAGTCTGAAAACAACGACCTGCTCAGCTAAACTGGTGAGAGGGGCGAAGCCAGCAGCGGTGGGGGTCCAGCAGGGAAGATCCCGCAACCCGCATGGTGCACAGGCAGCCGAGGGTCCAGAACCCAGGGAAGAGGCGCAGCTGGCTGTCTGCGGTTGGTTGCACACTTACGCGCAGATAAACCAGTGAAGAGGCGAGAATTGAGACCTCCCGGCACATGGCGGCAGGCTCCCACATCTGCCCTCAGATAAACAGGCAGGGAGCCAGTGGTGAGGCGGACTGGGAGAGTGGAGAGGACCGCCATTGCTCCCTCTCTGACCCCGCCCCCACATACAGCATCACAAACCAGCGACCTGGGTGGCCCCGCCCTGGTGAACATCTAAGGCGCCTCTCCTCATACGTTAACAGGCACAAACAGATCAAAACATGGCTCAGGAACAACTCGGAGCCCCAGAGCCAACAAATCTAAGCGATGAAGAAATGGCCAAACTTTCAGATGCTCAGTTCAAAACACTGGTGATCAGGATGCTCACAGATTTTAGTCACAAATTAGAGGAACATATGAAGGCTAAACTAATTGAAATGAATGGTAATGCACAGGAAACCAACAGTTATGAAATGTTAAAGGGACTTACCTAAGAAAAAGAAGATAAAAAAGATGAACAGTGAAAGGACAGCAAACTCACACTTATCAACAACCACACCTAAAACAAAAGCAAACTGAGAGGACAGCTAGATCAGAAGTGAACCATAGAAATGAAGATCACGTGGAGGGTTAGCAACAGGGGAGTAGGAGATGGAGAAGGGGGGAGAAGGTACAGAAAATAAGTAGCATAGACAGTAGATAGAAAATAGATAGGGGGAGGGCAAGAATAGTAGGGGAAATATAGAATATAAAGAACTTGAGACACATGGTCATAAACTAAAGGGGGGGTAATGGTGGGGACGGGAGAGTAGGGTGGAGGGGAATAAAGGGAGGAAATAGAACAAATGTAATGGTATAATCAATAAAATAAAAATATATATTAAAAAAAATAAATGGTAGGTATGAAATAGACAGGGGAAAGTTAAAATAGTATAGGAAATGAGGAAGCCAAAGAACGTCTATGTACAACCCATGGACATGAACTAAGGTGGAGGAATACTGATGGGAGGGACTGTAGGGTAGAGGAGAATAAAGGGGAGAAAAAAATGGGACAACTGTAATAGCATAGTCAATAAAATATGTTAAAAAATATATAACCACAAAGAAATGTAAATTATCTAATACTGAAAACTGAGTAAGTTATGCCAATTTTTATAGTAGAATATTATAATACCATTAAGACAACAGGTACATCAATGGGTTGTGAGACTAAACAACTTTTAAATTTAGACATATTTAAAATAGATACATATTACTTATGTAGTAAGGCAAAACATGCTGGCTTAATTAGTGATGGGAAAATTTAGTATAAAAAGATATTAAATCATAAAAACAGGAAAAGAACTTTGTATTATCTGGATGCAGATAATTATTGTTTATTGTCAGAAATAGAATGTACTGAATCAGTAAAATTATGCAAATGTGACTAAATCCTTAGAACTGCCTTAAACTTAACACTTATTCTAGTATAAACTATTACCTTTACGAATATTCCTCTTTGTCCCTAACTTGGAATAAGTAAATTTCTATTTCTGACAACAGAAGGAACTAAACACACCCTGAAGAATTTTGCTGTGATCAATCTCTAGGCTGTTTTTACATTTTGGGGGATGACTCCCTTGAAAACTGATAAAATAAATGTAGATTTATTGTTTTTTAGATTATCCTTCTTTATTCAACTACTTTTCAGTCTAAAATGAAATTATCTAGTTACAAAACTGAATATTTCTGAAGAAAGAGCTTATGGTCTTTCAGGTGTTACACAAGTTAATGATCTCATCTGCTTCTTTTTCAGTATTTCCACAAGAAATGCAGCTTCAACGCTTGCGTATGTTTCTGCAACAACATACATTACGCCTATCTCTCCCACACATGAAGGGCATAATTAATACATTTTTATTTCTTTTGTTGAGTCCATTACCTGACTTTTCAGGCCTCTAATCCATATTCCATTGAGGCAATAAAAAGGCAAGAAAATTCACATTTATGTCTAAACAAATACATTAAGAATTATTTTTCACATTATTTAAAAGGAAAATAAAAACAAAACTCTAAAAAAAACCCAGCAAAAATCAAACAAAACTAAACTCTCACTGATAAGAATATTTCTACCCAACTCAACCAAGCGGAACTATTTTTTAAATTTACAGCTATATTTACTAGACCCAAATTTTGACCACAGAGTCAGTCCTAAGTGTTGATATTACCAAAATATATGTAAAATGAAGATACTGTATATGAAAATTAAGAAAGATCCAGGAAATGTTCCTAAATGTACTCACTGAAAGGTAGCTGTTAGTGTCTGCATCGTCAGTAATGGTTTGGCGCTCTCCCTTATGGTTAATTTTCCGGAACCTTCGGCGGGACTGTCTGGCCGGAATTTCTCTTTGGAGAATATTGTCTTCATTATCTTTGGAATTCTCTACCTGAAACACATGTTCATGTTCCTGATTAAATATCCAATTTTTCCATATTACTGACAGTCTATGGAGTCTTAACAAGCTCATAAGGAGGCTTCATTCACTCCTAGCAAGACACTGCCTCAAGAAAACAGTCGGTATAGTGCTCATAAGTTCAAAAAGATTAAAGGTGACGTTATTATAAGATCTAGAGACCACAGTTTCCTTCCAGGAAATAGTCACTCTTGCTCACATAAACATGTATCTTCTAAGTAAAGTCACTTACCAGAAATGAAGGCTGTTAACTACACCTACACATTCAATAATTTTAACTTCTTTGCTAGACTAATTACAAACTGCCTAATTATATGAATATTTTATTTAGCAAACAATCAAGGCTTTAATTTCCACAGCTTTATAAACATTAATGTATTAGTATTTGGTGTCCATCTTAATGTATGGCAATGGCCAAGAGTAAGGCTAGTATCTTTTAGGGCAGAAGGGAAAACTAACATTTACTGAAGGCTTAAAATGAGCCAGCATGCATAAACACCATACTATGTGGTTCACACAAGAGCCTTGTGAGCAGGTATTACTACCCATAGTTTATAGATGAACTAAGTAAAATCCAAAGAGACTGATAACTTCCCAATCACAGGACAGTGATACATATTAAAGGTGATTTGGAATACAGTGCTGTCTTCAAAACTTACGCTACCAACACAAGGCCACACTGCCTAATTACAGACTAACTACAATTTTAAAAACTTACTTTTACAGTTGATTTTGTCACAAATTAGAGGAACATATGAAGGCTAAACTAATTGAAATGAATGGAAATGCACAGGAAACCAATAGTAATGGAAAGGAAACTGGGACTCAAATCAAAGGAGTGGACCAGAAAGAGGAAAAAAATGACCAAAGAGAAAAGAATGTAGAAACAAGAATTCTAAAAAATGAGGAGAGGCTTAGGAACCTTCAGGACATCTTTAAACGCTCCAACATCAGAATTATAGGGGTACCAGAAGGGGAAGAGGAATAGCCACAAGTGGAAAACTTATTTGAACAAATAATAAAGGAGAATTTCCCCAATCTGGCAAAGGAAATAGACTTCCAGGAAATCCAGGAAGCTCAGAGAGTCCCAAAGAAGTTGCACCCAAGAAGGAACACACCAAGGCACATCATCATTACATTAGCCAAGATTAAAATGAAGGAGAGAATGCTAGAAGCAGCAAGAGGTAAGAGGACAGTCACCTACAAAAAAGTTCCCATCAGACTGTCAGCGGATTTCTCAAAAGACACCTTACAGGCAAGAAGGGGCTGGAAAGAAGTATTCCAAGTCATGAAATCCAAAGACCTATATCCAAGATTGCTCTATCCAGCAAAACTTTCATTTAGAATGGAAGGGCAGATAAAGTGCTTCTCAGGTAAGACCAAATTCAAGGAGTTCATCATCACCAAGCCCTTATTATATGAAATGTTAAAGGGACTTACCTAAGAAAAAGAAGATAAAAAAGATGAACAGTGAAAGGACAGCAAGCTCACACTTATCAACAACCACACCTAAAACAAAAGCAAACTAAGAGGACAGCTAGATCAGGAGTGAACCATAGAAATGAAGATCACATGGAGGGTTAGCAACAGGGGAGTGGGAGATGGAGAAGGGGGGGAGAAGGTACAGAAAATAAGCAGCATAGACAGTAGATAGAAAATAGATAGGGGGAGGGCAAGAATAGTAGGGGAAATACAGAATCTAAAGAACTTGAGACACATGTTCATGAACTAAAGGGGGGGAATGGGGGGGAGGGGTGTGCAGGGTGGAGGGGAATAAAGGGGGGAGAATAGAACAACTGTAATGGCATAATCAATAAAATATATTAAATAAATAAATAAAAACTTACTTTTCCAAAGGATATGTTCCAAAGTGTACCTTATAATTAACTTCACATCCAATAAATAACAAGTGATTTGTTTTCCCCCACAACTACTTTTTCTAATGTGTTATCTTTTGCTAATATAAAAAATGTCCTAGTCATCCAACTTTGAAATTGCATCAACATTTCCAAATCCTGCTTGTCTTCTAAACCTTATCTTCAACCTTTTCCCTTCTTAAAAAAATTTTTTTAATTGATTTTTAGGGAGAGGTTCACACAAATTGAATAAAAACTGAATAATGTATAAAGGAGGAGAGTGAGAGGGAAAAAAACATCAATCAGTTGCCTCACGTACCCCCACCAACTGGACACTGATCCCGCAACCCAGGTATGTGCCCGGACAGGGAATCAAGCAGACAGCCCTGTGAGTTACAGGAGGCTCCAACCAACTGAACCACACAGGCCAGGGCCTTATCTTCACTGATTTCTCAGAACTTGTACAAATCTTTGTACAAATCAACCTCACAATGTCCTTTCTTTTATTCTTATTGTTACTATCACTTACTCAAGTGTTAATCACCTTAGTCCTGAAAGACAGTAATAGTAGGTGATCCTGTCGCTTCACAAGTGTTCCTCTCTAATCCCATCTGGCATGGCCAGATAAATCACCTAGATAAATCAGCACTAGGCAGGTCTCTTGTTCCAAATGCTACAACGGACCACTAATGATGACCAAATAAAATTTAAACTGTTGCACTGGATATTCAAAGTCACATATACTCCCTCCCCCAAACAATTTTATCACTTTATGTGTAAGCCTGTAAAAACCATTCCCTTCTTACTCCCCACCAAAAAAAACCCCTCTCACATAAAAGCTCTAGTGAGATATGCAAAATTCCCTGATGATTTCTCAGAAAGAACTGATGTCTAAAGCTGCTGTTCTAGGTGTGAGAGATCAAGAGCAAGTGGCCAAGTCAATGTGACTATTCTGCTAAGTAAATTATTTCCTCAGTTTGTTTTATCCTACCCATTCTATTTTTACATGCTGAAACACTATCATTTAAGATATATCTCAATTGCCTTCTCATCCACACCACCAGAGACATTCCCTTCCTCAGACCGTGACTGGTTTATTGTGTACACAGCCTAGCCTTCTCGTAAACAGGACACACTCCCTGCAGCCTTCCAGCCTTTGTATACCCTGCTGTTACTTCTGGCTAAAAGTCCATTTCTCATTTGCCCACCTGCTGGCATCTTACCTGTACTTCAATGACCCAGTTCAAACAACCCCTCCTTTGTCTCAGGAAGATGCTACTTCTTCTACAGTGCTAAGCATGGTGAACATAATTATTAGTTAAGCCTACCTCACTAACAAGTTAACAAGCTCTCTAAGACAGGAACTGTATTACAGTACACATCTTTGTTCACTTAACATTCAATACACGTGCCATAATGGGTATTACATTACATTCTATTAAATTCTCTCTCTCAATTATGTTAGGTCATTGGAAATATGTATAAGGTATTCAAGAAATATAGAGGCAGACAGAATAAGTTACCAAACACTGCTCTTCTGAAAGGTAAAAACCAGAAGAAACAGGGAATGGATTTTCAGCTTAACAATTACAGAATCTGGTGTAGGCAGCAAATACATACTCCCTGCTTGTGATCCAATTCCCTCTTCTAAAAATGTAAAGGACAACCATGGTATTTCCCGAACCACTATACCAGGCCATCTTCCAGAAGCTCCAAGTTATATCATTCAAGGCTTACAATGACCTTACTACAAGCTAGTTTTAAAAGATGTTACAGAGTCTCATAAAACTTAAGTAACTCAACTCACATAAGTGAGTAAGGTCTCAAAACCCAAGTGTGACAAAAAAGTTAATCTTCTTCATACTGCCCTATCCCAAAGGATGAACTAGATTATCTACTTTAGGTGAAATTCCGATATGACAAGTTTCTTAAATCGTTTTTTAAAAAGATTTTATTTATTTTTAGACAGGAGAAGGGAGGGAGAGAGTTAGAGAAACATCAGTGTGTGGTTGCCTCTCATGTGGCCCTCACTGGGGACCTGGCCTACAACCAATTCCCAGGCATGTGCCCTGACTGGGAATCGAACTGGCGACTCCCTTTGGTTTGCAGCCCCCTCTCAATCCACTGAGCTACGCCAGCCAGGGCTAAATCTTTTAATATCTACCATCTATCAGGCAAAAGCAGAGATTTAAACAATAAAGGCTTTTCAAAGTAAGCAGAGTAGTAAACTGAAATTTAGGAAAGAAATTTTTAAGCCTCGATTTTGAGAAAAGTAACAAATTTAAAAAAACTGAATAATGTATAAAGGTTTAAGTGCCCTTAACAAAGCTCCCTTTAAATACAAGCAAAATGTGAGACTTTTAGAAAATAAAATTTTGCAAATGCATACTGAAATGGCACAAAAGTACAAAAGCCAAAGACCAAGAATGAAGTAAAAGCAAGAATACCAGAAGGCGGGCTACCAACGAAGCCTCTGACCTACCAGACAATTTCTCTATTCTATGAGACTAAGCCTTCCACTCTGAGAGTTGCAGGGAGCAAGAGACAGGAAATAAAACAGAAAATCCACCAAAGATGGGGAGTCCAACAGGAGACTTACTCAGAAAACTCATCCCAAACAGCCACATCCTCACTGTAAAGGCTGAGCACTGTATCTGCCCACCCTGCAGGGACAGGAAGAAAATTCGCTTGGCGCTGAGAGAAGGGAGTGGAAAAAAGCAACCAAACAAAAAACATTTCCTCAGAATTAAAAAAATTAGCCACCCCACATGCAGATCTATTGTTTGAATTCACAACACCTTAAGCACATAAGCAAATTTAAAGTAGTTCAGGACTGATGTGTGTGCATACAACTGACAAAAACAAATCTAATACCTCTTTGCAAGAATGCAACTTCAACCCAAACCTCAAAAAATTCCCACACCTAAAGTTCAAGACATATACACTCATGTACCAAAAAACCCCACCTAAGCACAAGAAAATCCAATCACATAAGCAAATAAGACACGATGAGCAATAATAATAAAAAACAGAAAAAAGACCACAGCAGAATCATACTTGCAAGCATTACAATATACTGGGAATATCAGAAAATACAAAGCTATAATTTTAAAAACT